TTGTTAGATAAAACTATAAAAGTAAATTATTATTTATTATTGTAAATAATGCTTTGTTTGTTACACAAATTATATTGTTTACGATTATTTAATTAAAACTAACATGATTTTCAGGATTTAAAAGTGAATGGGCTACTATATATAACTCTGATTTATATGTTGGGAGTATGGGCAAAGAATGGACCTCTTCTACGGGAGAATTTGTTAATAATAATCCAATGTGGATAAAAATTATTAATAAATTTGGATATGTAACCCATGTCAACTGGACAGATAACTATATTGCAATTCGCAAAGCAGCCAAAATAAATTACCCTGGATATATGATACACGAATCTTGTGTATGGAGTCAAATACACAAACGATGGTTCTTCTTACCACGGAGGAGTTCATCAAAACAGTATAATGACAATGACGATGAGTACATGGCTACAAATATGTTGATATCAGCCAATAATAATTTTAATGATATTAAGGTAATTTAGTCCACCAAAGTAAGGAACACTATAACTCAATAACGTAAGGGAGTCTAGTGACGATTTTTCACAATTCTATACAATTTATAAATTGTGATACTTCAATTGCTATTTTAATAAAAATATTTTTCCAAATTACTTATTAAAACATTAACTATTAAAGTAATAAGTATGTTTTAAAAAATTTTCAAAAATATAATTTGGAGTTTTTTTCTTTTTGTCAATTTTGGATTTAGAATACTTGAACAAATTTGACCAATCTAAATAATATGTCAATATAAAATTCATCAAATATTTCAATTTAAAATATAAAGTTACATGCACAGAAAACATTAATAACTTTTATAACAGTTGTAACTAAAATTAATTTATATTCCAGAAGTATAGTTTTGTTCCATAAATCATATTAAAAAAAAAAATATATATATATATATTGGTAGGTACATTATTAAATGGTAGTTAAAGTGTTCTTGTAGAATGTGGATTCAAGGTTTACAATATTAAATTTAAAGATTTTAATTTTAATATTATTTGATGTTCATAGGTAGTACATATTGGCAAGATAGTACCTACTCATGGATATTCTAGTTTCAAATTTTTACCTGGTACAAATGATAGAGTTATTGTTGCACTTAAATCTGAAGAAGTTGGTTCAAAAACAGCTAGTTATATTACAGCATTTAATATTGATGGAACAATTATACTACCAGAAATAAAAGTAGCTGATCTTAAATATGAAGGATTAGAATTTATATGAGTCATATCAAAATGTTGTGATTTTTATTATATAAATAATGTATTTATAATGTTAACATGTGTTGTATGTTACCTATAAGGACTGTTTGAGCTTTTCTATAAATATTGAGAGTTCTTCTTGAGAAAATTCGATGAAAACATTTTCTGATATTTTTGGATTTTCTGTATTATTTGACCTAGGGCCATCCTTTAAATGCAATATAACTTGAAGTAATGGTTCTTCCAATGTGCTTAATGAGCTGCTGCCCATTACATACTAAAAAATGTAAAAAAAAATAATTTTAAGTTCCTATGTTCAACCACAGTTGAAATAATACATAACATTTATTTTATTCACAGAAGATAATTTACACAGATACTTGTTAAGATAATCAATATTTTTAGTTAAAATATAACATGTATACAAGAACATACTATAATAATATGTATGTTTATTTCTTCAATAATTAATTTTAACTGAAAAATTCAAAGAATAGGTTGTTCTGAAAACAAAATCGAACAATATAAGCTTAATTTAACTTTGAGGGAATTACGGTTATAATTTAAAAAAAATGTAGGGATGTTAAATAGATATATAAGCGTTTACATATATTATCTTAATACAACAGAACCTAATTAAAACACTTATTGGAACTTTAGGGTGTACAAATTAAATTAAATAATCAATGAAATGAGCCAAGGTACATATTATTTAATTATTGTTCAATAAAAAAATGAGTATWATAAATTATAAAAATAGTTTCTTAGTTTTCCGTGGAATTTGTTTTCATGTTTATTTTAGTCTGCGGCACAAAATAATAAGATATATTATCATGAAATATTCCAATCATATTAAATTTATATAAGTACCAATGATATGCATTATTAAACAACTTTTCAAATTAATGAGTTACTACTGTGTGTATATTTGAACGTATATATCTGAAGTTCTATCAAACCAATATGCATATTTTTATTCTTTTAACTTAAATAATCGGCCATCTAATGAAAGGAAAATGATAAACCAGAAAGTGTAGTGCCAAACCACTAACTCTTTGACCGATATCTGATACAATTTATAAATCTAAATAAAAAATGGTTTTAGTAAAAATATTGTCTGTACCCAACAATAACGTAACACAACAATTTATTGGCAATCACAGAATATAGAACATTATAAAATATAATTTAAGTTTTGGATGTGCCATGAATGATCAATACATTTTTAAATATTGAATGTAGATTTAATTTTTAAGTTGATTATACAGTGCTATTTTTATTAACAAATGCTTAAAAAGATTCTAAAATGATTAACAAAACTGTGTTGGTTTTAACCAAAAGTTATAACAATTAATTCAGATGCATTATTTATTTTTTGATTYTTAAAGATTTACATTACATTTTTTTGCTGCTATTTTATCAATTTAACAATTTTTTTTGTTTGAGGAAATACAAATTTGTTGTATAATATATTAATATGTAATGCTATAGTCCTGTAAGAAATAGTTCATCTTTCTGAACAATAATATACTTTTTTAATTACTTAATAAAAAATTAACCAATTTTATAAAAAGAAATTTAAATACAATTTTTTTTWAAATAATTATATAGGTAGGTTTTGTTTATCAATCCATCTGAGATTTTTTAAAACTGCAGCTCAATTCATTTTCAGCTTTAGGTATTAAATTCAGTAACTCCTCGACATCTGTTTGGAAATCATCATCTGCCCAGTATTCAATAAGTTTCCTCAAAATTATTCCGATTTTCTTTCCATCTTTCACCCCATGATTTTTAATCATATTTCCTGTAATAGGAAATTTTAATGGTGTCCATTTTTGAAATTCCTCAAGAATTCTTCTATCGTTGTTATACATCAATAACTGTTCAACATACACTTTCATAACATTTTGTTTGGTTGGATTTTGTATAATTTTAATTTTATTCATTTTAATGGTGTCTGGTGTCCATTTTTTATCTCTACTTTCTATTAAGAATAATCCCAAGTCTCTGTCAAACACTCGAAACTTTAATCGATTGTTTAGTTCAATCATTTCTTGTGCATCTTTTAAAAATGCTATTAACATAGTAATTGGTTTTAATTTTAATCCTTTGCTTTGATTAATAACTTTATCGAACTCATCTACATTAGGTTGATCTGGAAGACCAATATATGGACTTAGGCCTAAATTTAAAAGAGTCTTCATAATATCAGGTCCATAGTTTCCTTCTAAAATTTTATGAAGTTCTGACCAAATCCGTTCACCAGATATATTTTTAAGTCCAYTGCCTTTTTCTCGTATTGCTTCAAGTATATATTCATCATGAAGATTGGGTGCAGTAGCCAAACGACCATAAAATCTGAAGTACCTTAAAATTCTCAAATAATCCTCTGTGATGCGCAATTTGGCATCACCAACAAATCTTATTTGCCGCTTCTTCAAATCTTCATATCCATTAAAATAATCATATATGGTGCCATCCATTCCTAAGAACATAGAATTCACCGTTAAATCTCTTCGCCCTGCATCTAGTAACCAATCCTTAGTGAATTCAACATCAGCATGTCTACCATCAGTGACAACATCAATTCTCAGAGTGGTAAGTTCAAAATTAACACCATCAACATGAGTAGTTACAGTTCCATGTTTTAAACCACCTTTATTAACTATTCTAATATTTTCATTCTCCATCATTTCAATCATTTCATCAGGGGTGGCTGTAGTGGCAAAATCCAGATCAGTAGGAGTCTTGCCCAACAGAATATCACGTACTGCACCTCCACAAAGTCTTATTTCGTACTTGTACTTGTCAAAAACTTGTAAAACTTGGGTAAGTTGTGGAGAAAATATAAAACCGTATTGTGAACTTTCAAGCTTCATGAKTGCTGGTGTTGGTCGTGGTTTAAGATTGTAACTAACGACTGGATTTATAAAACTCAGAAAACGAGAAGGATATGGTTGATATGGACGTAATGAAAACAGTTTAAACAAATAATTCATAATAAAATATAACAACACATCAAAAGAAAATCTTTCATCATAAATATTAAATTACTAAAATGAACATCTATACCTCAAAAATTTACCTTTAATTTCCAGTCAAAATCTACTAAATGTTTATCCATTATTTGAATTTTTTTCTATAATAACAACCTAGGTATCTGACATGGGAAGATGTCAGAACAGTAGAACACTGAACAGTGAACACTCGGAACGCATTGTAAATATTTTTATTTATTGAAAATTATCAAAAAGTATACATTGTACAATAAYTTTTTTCGAGGAATAAATTGCTTGAAGTGGAGCGCTTCGATACGTACCGGTTAAACAACATTTAATTCATGTCATACAGTTGTTGTAAGTTCTTGCGATATACCAGCGATTCATTTACTTATCTTTGAGCGATACGTACCGGTCCGTAAAGAATTTTCTTCCCAAATATCGTATTGTAAATTAAATATTGATGATAATTTAGGTATGTCAGTTTGAGTTCTCGAAAACTGCCTGCACTGGTGAGGTTTTAGAGGTTATACAATTACATTTTAATCGATATTTATCGATTTCAAAAAAGTAATGATGAGTTATTTAATTGAAGAAAAGTCATTAACAAATTTTTATTCAGCTTAAAATTAACCTGAAACTATTTGAATTTATTTAAATCCATAAAATAATATTTAGAGCAAGTGATAATTTATAAAATTAATTATTTAAGCAACTTATTTAAACATCGATAAATTATCTTTGTCCGATTGTTTTGATATCACTGTAGTCCGCGTTGCAAGTTGTAATGTTTTCTTTCCGTTTTTCGTGCGATTTAATCCGTGTAACATTTTGTCATTCTCATTTTACCATTTTTGAAGTTTTGTTGCCACTTGCCACTTGCCAAACCAAATTCATTAACTTTTTTTCAGGACGTCAACTGGTGACTACCTAACAGAATATGGTAAGCGTTTTATAATGAAATGACTATGAAAAATTTTAAACTTTAGTTTTATGTTAGTATACAATATTTCTATGTAATACTCGCACAGCCTAACCTCCATTGCTCTATCTTGTCACATGGTTTTTTGCTCAGAACGTCTTTTATAATTAACATTTTATTAATGTTTTCGTGGTACATGATTTTTCTGTTTGATCGCTTAGTATGCATCTTATTTATAATATCTGGTTTAATACTTACTTTTCGATATTGCGCGTGTTTAAAATATTTTTTAATTACCTAATAAAGTAGGTAGGTAGTTCAAACAGATTGAAAACATATTAAATAATCTTTAGCAATTTTTTCATAATTTTAATCTTATTTTACATACTTCTATATTRGATTAAATGTTATGATAATTAATACAACTTTGAATGAAATGTAATATTGAACAATTATCAATATGCTTACTTAATTTACATTATTTTAACAAATGATGAACCTTACAGGCTGATCATTTAAGTGATTGTATATTAAGGGACGTAATTCTGAAGATTTTATAATTGTTTAGCATGTACCTGATATTGTTTATGATTTAATGATGAATCTTATATACTGATAATTTTAGTGATTATATATTAAGGGACGTAATTCTGAAAATTTAATAAATTTAACAGTAATATCAATAATAATTTAATGATGAATCTTATGTACTGATCATTTTAGTGATTATATATTAAGGGACGTAATTCTGAATAATATGTTATATTGATAATAATTTAATGATGAATCTTATGTACTGATCATTTTAGTGATTGTATGTTAAGGGACGTAATTCTGAAAATATAATAAATTTAACAGTAATATCATTAATAATTTAATGATAAATCTTATGTACTGATCATTTTAGTGATTGTATATTAAGAGACGTAATTCTGAATATGTAATATTGATAATACTTTAATGATGAATCTTACGTACTGATCATTTAAGTGAATGTATATTAAGGGACGTAATTCTGAAGTCAGTATTGTTAATTAAGCCTTAATCATTATGTACCTATTATGAGGTCTTTATTTTGTTAAAATAAAATCAAGTAAATTTTGTGTCATATCCATTACCCATAAAAATGTTTATATTTTGTCCTAGGGAGAATATTAACCTGAGTAAATTTACTATTTTGTATTGTAAATTATAATAGTAGAAGGCAGATATGAAAATTCTTTTCTTACTTTATTTTCCTCTATGAAAGATAGTGAAAGAGTGGTATGTTCTGATATTAAATTAAAAATCAATGGCTTGAATGATATTAGTTAAAACATAAATTCCATTTCATCCTTAAGGAAACAAAACTAAAGTTAATAACTAGACTTGGTCTTTATTTTATTAATATTAATATTTTACTTTTCAGCCGCAAGAAATCAAGGAAATCAAAGATTTTCTCCTGAAGGCTAGAAGGAAGGATGCCAAATGTAATAATTGTGTTTTCTAATTAATATAGCTGTACTTACATGTATTTAATTTATATTATTTATATAGCTGTCAAGATTAAGAAGAACATTGAAAATGTTAAATTCAAGGTTCGTTGTTCTCGATTCCTTTACACCTTAGTAATTACAGACAAGGAAAAGGCAGAAAAACTTAAACAATCATTGCCTCCTGGTAAGTTATTTGAATTAAATACTATTAATTTATTATATTTATTATTTAATTTTTTATTGTAGGTCTTCAAGTGAARGAGATCAAATGTAAAAAAATGAACACTGACGATAAAGAGAAAAAATGATAAGGTTGCTGTGGATTAATGTTTATATTAAATATAATTAACTTTATTACATGTAAATTGTATGTTCTTTTTCATTAAGTTCCTATAAATTATCAATTAAGAAAACAGAACAATGATGAATATGTGATAAACATGGCAATATTAATTGTAATTTCCATAACGGATATTAGCTTACCAACACAGATTAAGAGAAATGCTTTACTTGGCATTTGCTATGTTAAGTTATTTCTCTTGAAAATAGAGGATTAGAAATATATCTTTTAAAATTGTAATTGTCTTACTATTTAGATAAAAGTACAWAGTTGCTAGTATATGCGATTATATATGGTAGGAATTATTATTTGTTTATGTTAATCAGTATTGGTTTACTATCAAAATTAATATTCTATAATATGACCTATTACAATGTTTATCAATTCATTATTTTTGTTCCATATTTACTTGAGTTAAATCAAATTGGGCATCAAAATAAAACTAAACAAATTATAAAAAAGGATGCTTTTTTCTCACCATTAATAAGACATTAAGTTATTGTACTATATGTTTATGATCAATTATTTAATCCAATATTGTAAAAAAATTAACTTTCTAGCATTGGGGGCTGCGTGCTGCAAACCCTCTTCTCAGACAAGTAATTACTTGTCTATATTTTATAAAGTCTAAATTTTAAATGCACAATGATTTGTAGGTATACCTGGCAGTTGTTAATGTAATAGAATTTTCAGTGAAAAAACTAAATATTCTTTAAATATTTTTAATCCTCTAATGGTATTTAGTAAACGATATAAGCCATCAGATGATCATAATTCATAAAAAGTGTTTATGACTATATTAAATTTCCAAAATAGAAATTGTTTTCAATTTGTGAATTTTTTCTTTTCATGAGTTTTGTTTGGAAATGCATTGTAAAGTATATCCACTTCTTCTGAAGTACCTCTTCAKTATTTACTTATAATCTAATACTTGTGAACTTATAATAGTGGCCACAGAAAATTATTTAGAGTAGATCATATGCGTATCGTGAACTATAGTCAGTGACCGTAAATTTCTAATATTTATTAATTTTTATACAAACTTTAGAAWACAAAAATGAATAGACCACTTTTGTTAGGAAAATATGTACGCTAATGAATTAACGATTGATTGTATTATTACAATAATTTCATTAATTCATTAATACTAATTAAAATGTATTTACGACTGGCCTGTAGCAATGGTCCACAAAATTTTTCCATCAAAAATATAATAAAATTTGTACTACTAAATAATCTGCAAATTATGTTTGACAAATACTATCAACTGTTTTGAAGAAAACAGCTAAAATACTGACTACAAGTTAAAAGGTACCTCATAATAAGTTTGAAAAATTAAACTTGTTAATGTTTGCATTATATTAAACAAAAAATTACACAAATGAATTCTTCTCAAGTACTGGCAAAAAGTAATCGCCAATAAAATGTGCCTTAAAAGTACATCATATCCGTATGTAACGTCTCCATCTTAACAACACTTAATATATCAAAATGTCCAGCAATTTCAATTTAGTGTTATTAACTTAAATATTAGAGTGAATTGAGCTATTATCAAACTTAAATTTAAGAACAATATTTGTCTTCTCTTGGTGATTTTTGATCATATTTTAATTGTWATGTGAATTTTGAGAATCTTCAATTAGTGATATTTTAATATTTTATATATTATACATAACACTCATTCAAAAATTAAAATATTGTAATACAGATGATCTTATACATTTAAATTTGATAATATGTYATTTAACTATAAAACAAGTATAAAAGACAAAGTTTGAACTGTACATTTTAATATATCATGCATTAGTAAGACTGAGACATTGCATACGTATATGGAATTATCTAAAGTAAACATTTGTTACAATGTCGATAATTTTGTTGAAAAAAATATTTGTAGAAAAATAAGAATAAGAATATTTTATTAATTATTATAGCTACAGATATCGGATRATATAATAATCATGTTATACATCATAAAATATTAATTCAAAATTCTTATTCCTAATAATTGTATAATATTGTCAAATTAAAATAAATCACAGCAGAATTTTTAAATTATAAAATAACAGATAAWGTAATAATTAGTAAATGATCAGATAGTAAATAAAATACACATATTTCTTAAAAATAATTCAAACGTTCAACAAACAATTAAAATTTTTTATAAATACATTAACATACTACATTTAATTGATTTATTAATTAAATAATATTGAATTAATTATTTGTAAGAAGCAGCTATTTTTTGATTGATTTTAACATATAATTTCTCTTTAGAAAATAGTTTAATACCTAGTTGTACTTGATCCAATTCTTTTTCTATGCGCTTACGTTTCTCTTTCATTTTATATGAATCTGAACTGACGGGCAACATATTTAATTGCAATACCAATTCATTATAATCTATATCAAAAAAATGTATTATACGGTAAATTACTTTGTTAAATATGGATTATTTAAAACATTAACTGTTACCTTTTTTTATTTTAGCAAGATGTTCAAGACGCTCTGGTTCTGGTAATAATATATGGCCTGGAGGGCATGCTGGATCATCAAGGCCCAATTCACGCCTAATTGCCAATTTCTTCTGAATTTCTTTCTCATTTTTTTCTTTCAATGCTTTACGGTCTTTCAGATATCTATAAGAATAACAATGTATAACAGTAGTCAGTAATCATTAAAAATATATTTTAAGATTAATTTTACTTTGGTATTTCTCCAGGTTGATGATGACCAATTATGTTTTCTTTAAGTCTAACTATATTTTGTTGTTTCCTTTTGAATTTATTGTCATCTTGTTGGCGTACAGAATCAGCATTTTTTCTAGATGTAAAATTAGAATACTCTGATTCAGAATTTTCAGTTTGCACAGAAATAGTATTCATCTGTTTCATTTGAATGGTTTTAGTCATATCTGAATTTTCTGATATTGGACATCTGATAATATAATCTTTTAATTTATCTTCTTCTTCATATGGATTTACTGTTTGTGTAGCTATAACAAAACATGTTTACCGCAATATTAATATCTATCAGAATTTGTTGAGTAATAATTAGCAAGTAGTTAGTTAACTGTGATTAGGTAAATTGCATTTATGTAAAATAAAACTTAATAAAATATAGTTTTAGCTTGATAAGTAAAAATATTTATATCATTTTTTATAATTAGGTTTAAAAACAAATTGAAATATGCAGTTTTAAATGTTTTAGCATAATTTTTTCTTTGAGTTGCATAAAAGTATCTGGTATACTATTGCAGAAGTAGTTTTGACATCCATTAATCAATGATAAAATTCAGTGGCTTGGTGCAATGCCAATTTCACATTTGAATAAATTTGATATAATTCACCGATGTCATTACAAACTTGATTATGTTATATGTGTTGAAAGTTTGAAACAACCAATATCACTGTTGCAGTGTAACCAAATTAGATTTTATAACAATTAGTAGTAGAAGTAGATCAGTTAATGCTATGGGTCTATATTGATGTTGATCATTTCAAAATTAATTAATAAAGTTTATGCATATAATATATTATATTATATGTATAGGGGTAATTTATTTAAAATTTAAGTTATCAATATTAYAATTTATGTGCAATTGAATACTATTATTAGGAATGTATAAAAAGTTTTGTTTTTCATTTAAAATTTTATTTTTTGGCTAATATCAGACAAAAGTAACWTTTTTTCTGTGTGGCCAATGCCTAAATAAAAATTATACATTTGAAGTTAAAAACAAAGCGAGAGTAACACAATGAAATGAAATAAAATTAATTTAATTAATTAATAGCATTTTAAGAGTCCCTACGTTAATTTTAAAAATTGGACAATTTGTATTTTTGATTCATGATAATTATCAAGATACGAGATTGGCATTTCTTTCACCAAGTCACTGAATTTAATGTTGCAACAAGTACCTTGATCTCTAAAAGTCGTTGATAATTTTTCAACATTTTTGATTCCTAATTTTTTTTGAGTAATCTTAGTTTGAGCTATTGCAGAACGAATTGATTTGATACTAGCATCAATTTGATCCAAGTCTATAGATTTTATTTTCCTTTTTGAATTTTCCAGGATAGATTCTTTATTTGCCCCTTGTCTCAATTTGAAATTCTGCAAATATTTGTAAGTATAAAATGAATTATAACATATATACAATACAAATTTAAACAAAAAATATACATTAATATTTTAAATTAACATAAATAGAATATGTTAAATTAAATAAAACAAACCCATATATAAACATACGCCTATGTTTATATATCTGTCGTTAAACACTGATATTCAGCATAATATTACCACAAATAACATTGATTCTCGTTTTTACATACTAAGTAGTAAGTAGTTAAAAATATTCACAAGTGCAGTTATATAATTTTGCATCTAATTTAAAGATATCATATATTTTATACTATGTATATAAAAACATTTTTCTTTTTAAACTAGTTTAATTTAGATGATCAGAATTATAGATTTCTTTATAGGTATTTTCCTTCTATCCCAAACTAATTTAATTGTTTATTTCAGTAACTTCAAAATATATTTGTGGCAAACTAATATTGGTGATAAAATGTATCAAAGTATCCTGACAACATTTTGTTTCTCTTTACTATTGTTTTTGTAGTGTGTATTCAGTGACAAACTATTGTGGCGGGATATCAAAACTTTTCCTATCTAGCTGGAGGTTGTAAGTTGTTCATTAAAATAAAAATTAGAGACATTCCTGTTTATGGCTATAGATAAAAATATATTGATTGGTGTGGTGTGGCAGAGTCGCACACTAAACTGCCACAATACTCCAAATGTAAGGTATGTAAACATATAAACAGTACATAATAACTGGTGTGACCAGTGTTGATAGCTACCGGATGCATGACCACCCCAGTTTTTAGCAACAAATCATTGCTACATATACAAGACTGTACCAAATCAATTCCCCACCTACAAAAACAGCTAATGGCCATTATTGTTGAGTATATGATCAATCAAAATATAAAAAAATAAATTGAATAATATTGATGTTGAAGGCATTATTAACATGGTTTAAAATAAAATGTTTTATTAAACATAGRTATTATGAATATATWTTTTTTTAATTAAACATTTTTTTCTTCTTTTCTATTGGCTTTTAGAATTAACTATTACAGCTCGACAATTATATTATATACATCAATTTAAAATTATTTTTTGTTTTTATCAAGTGTAAAATATGAGTAAGTCTGCTTAATAGTTGTTAATTGCTATGTTTATATGATGGCGTTAAAACGGTTAGTCTGGTTAGAAAACTGGTTGTCATGGTTTATAATAATATTGGTATGATATTAAAAATGTATGTCTTGTAAAATAGAAAGACACTGATTTTATTGTTGCTATGATACATGAATAAATAAAAACATATATACATATTGAAGAATGAAGAGTATATTATTAAAACTAATTGAAGTCGAATGATAGGACAGATATGTCTACAATTAATAATATAAACAGGTAAATTAATGTATTTAAAAATTAATTATTAGTTGAAATAGTAATAAATAGTAATGAATAGTTTTTTTTTTAAAATTAAAACCTGTGTAAAAAAATGTACATAGTGTACCTTAATTAATTTGAAGGATTAGGCAAAAATATACTTTTAACGTAGCTTCCGTTCAACTGCTCAATTCATCAATTCAAGAACTGAATGGTTAATATTAAGTAAAAATTTATTATTTAATACCTATGGTAAATTTATTCTAAACTGAAATATATCAATATTAGTTATTAAAATTTATCACTGTTGATATACCCTACCCTAATGCATAAAACAATGACGTGTTACATTACTTATAAATAATTAACAAAACTAACCTATCAAGTTTTTGTAATAACTTTTGGTTAAAAGCTTCTAAAATTAATAATAACCTGATACCTACTATAGGTACTAATAACTTTACCTCTTGTTAAAATAATGTATACTTATGCAATCTTAATTTTTTCCCATGGTAGATTTTATATTCTTCATTAGAGCAAAATGTCATGCTATTAAATCAAAATCTTACTTATTACAATATGGAAGTATTCAATTTATCACAATTCACAATTAATTTTATATGGTATTTACACTTAAATAATAGACTGATGGTATACCTGAATATTGGTGCAAGGTTTATTTGATGGTTTTACATTTTCTTTTGACGCCTGAGTATCTTTTGCTAATTTAGTCACATATCTCTTATTCTCTTGAATAAAATTTTTCTTGGGCTTGGCTCCRCTGACTCCTTTAATATAAAAAACCAAGTTATAAATCAACTAAAATTATTAWTTTATTTGAGTATTATAATGTTAAACTTTAATAAAATACTGAAATTTACTATATTCAATAGGAAAAAAATCTCTGATTGAACACATTGTATACGATGATTTTTCTTCTTTTTTACGTAATAAAAATACACGTTATTCGATGATTAAATATCTATCATCTATCATACAATAACAATTAAGTCTTAAATTAAATTGTTAACTCTGAATATGTATAATCTACATTCTATATAAAATCATTAAAATCTATAATGTTAATAAAGAATAAAAATTTATCAACAATTTTACTATTGATCCGTTAAAAATTGAAATAACGTTTAACAAAACGATTTTAATGTAAACAAATTGTTAAAGATATCGCATCTATGAGTCTGTGAGAATAGAATATGTTATGACCTAAATACGTTATCACCAAAAAATCTCAAAGAAGTTACGTAAATATCTTAATTTATCGATTACATTGAAAATTGTAAGGATATAACAGCAGCTGTTAGGCGGGTTTTTAAATATAAAATTTATCAATGATAAAATAACGCATTTCGAAAACAAAACTGAAGAAATTTAATTCCCAACATCCCAATAGTATTTACTTTTTAGTATTTGTTAATGATAACTGATTACTGATTAGTATAGCTATAATTTTATGACGGTAGTATACCTAAAATAGGCTATACATTTAACCGAAGTGTGTGTAAAAATATTAACTTTAGCCCACCTAGGTAGTAGGTATTGATTATTGTAGGCCATAAGCTGTGAGGCTATAATTTATGAGTAAATCAAATTATAGCAGGGCCGGATTAAGATTTTTTGCGCCCCGGGGCAAACCTACCTAAAATTAAGAACTACTTTTTAATAATACATAAA